TGGCGTATGCTTGGATAAAAAATGAATGCAAAAATAAGTAAATGTGGTATGAACTATTTTAGTTCATTTTTTAGATAAATTAAACTCGCCCAATTAATTTTGAGTGAGAAATTTTTTCATTGTAAGCAAGCTCACTTGAACAATGTCATTATCGGCTGCATGCCATCACCATTGTCTCCACCGCCCACCGCCGATCGCCATCGTCTGTCACCACTGTCATTGGCCACCACCATGGTCACCAAACACTACCACTGATTGTCGGCAATCACCATCACCCTTGAACACCACTGGCCACCATTGCCACCTATTGCCAATCACCTACAGCTGTCGCCATCTTTGAGCTTTATAGTAAAAAAAAAAAAAAAAACCTAAAAAAAAAAAAAAAAAAAAAAACCTTTGAATTTTATAGTACTTTTATTTTACTTGAAAAAAAAGAACTCTGCTTCATCTACATTATACTAATCCAAATAACTCTAAAGTATTACCTTTATACTATTTTAATTTTACATTGCATTCCTTTAACACCGCATTAATTCCACTTTTAGGCAACCAAAGAGTCCCAAAATAATTCTTCTTTTCTTCAATGTGAATAAAATGGATTTATTGCATGAGCTACTGTATAGTGAATTTTTCAATAGAGCAATAATTAACCTGCTATTTTTTCACTTTTCAGGTTTTTTTAACGTAAAATTGTTTCGATCTTATTATTTTTATTGGTGCTTGGGCTTTTTTGGATAATAATAATCCTTAAAACACATTGATACGTCATGCAAAAATTATCTTGATCGGGCACGAATCTCGAGGCAAAACCTAGTTGGAAACTTCAGAAAATAAAAAAGAAAATGCACCAAAAATTGCTTATTATATATATATATATATATATATTGGGAATTACTTATTATAAAAAAAAAAGAACATAAAGGAAAGCCCAAGTTAATCGTCTTTAACGTGAACGACGCACCGCACCAATCCAAGTGGAAACTGGAAACGTCATTCAAGAAGGCGACCTGGCCATCCCCGTTACGCCGATGGGTAACGGAAAGCCGCAAGTCTCAGTGCCTCAGCATGCCGGCCTGCAAAGGTGAACGGCAAATAAAAACGCCGTTCCGTTAGCTGCACCATCCGTCGCCAAGCTAATCTTATCCAATTAACTATACCAAAGCAATTAACAGAAGAAAGAAATAATAATTAAAAAGAAATGGGCGATAATCGAATCCAAGTCTTAATCGCATATAAAGCCTTACGTATTGGGTGGCATGAAATTATGCGCCACATTTCACTTCACAAATAAGATAATAAATTATTATAAACTGAGAGGATTAGTGGAGAATGGCAACTGAGTAATCACGTCTTCTTTTTCCGATGGTGGTGGCCGTGTTAATGGTAGAGAGACAAAGGCAGCTAGAGAGAGAAATTTCTCTTTCTAGCTATCAATATCTATCAGCGGAATTCAGGAAAGGATAGAAATTAGGGTGATTTATATAAATATCACTTTATTTTATGTTATTTGTATATCTACTATCTAAAATATTAATATTACAAGTTAATATCTATAGAATAAATTTAGTTGCATGTAATGAAATATTAAAATTTATAGGATGATATATTTGATATTAAAGTTTTATATAGGTGATAGATATATAATATTAATATTTTAGATGTTATATATGTAATATAGCATGAAATAAAGTGGTATGTATATATGTAAATTTCCCTAGAAATTATTATATGATAATATTTTTGTTTAAATGAATTTTGTATATCTATAGTAAGAATTGCTTCATAAAAATTGAGGCTTGTTTTTAGATATATAAAAGCACAAAATTTACACGAACATTTTTTTTATCAAAGGTAAATCATTATTCACATAAGTCTTAGGAATAAAAATAATTACATGTAGGTTCATAATTTAAAATTATTTTATTGTTTCATCATCTATCAAATCAAGTCATCCCCCTTCATAGATCATCTACTTTGTCTCTCCCCTTTCCTTAGGGCATAAATTTTATCTCTCCACAAAATTTAAATTATAAAGAGTTATAAACAGGAGAACCTCAAATATATATCTCAACCTATTTTAATATCCAAGTTAGATAAAAAATTAAAAAAAAATAGAAAAAAAAAATCCTATTACATAAGGTAATCCATTTTCCTCTTCCATATACACATACTAAGGATTCATTTGGGGCGACTTTTTTGCCACTTTCTAAAACGGCTTTCTAGTATAAAAATTTGATGAATAAAAAGTTGTTTTAGAAAGTAGCAAAAAAAATTCTCAAAGTAAGCCTAAAGGTTTGTCTAATATTATATTAACTGATTTTATTTATCCATAATCTATGAATGAAGCGTCTATAAAAATTATAATTTGGTGCATATATATCAACATCCACATATTATGTTAAAAATACTAAATAAAAAAGATATCTTTGTTGAACACAATGGTAGATGTTCAAAACTAAAAGTTTAATAAATTTTATTAAAAAAGAGTTTTGTGACATAGGAGTAAGGGTGTAAATAAGTCGAGTTTTAATACTATCGAGCTCAGCTCCGTCAGTCGGAAGCAAGCTCTAACTCGAGCTCGAGCTCAAGTCGAGCTCGTCCCACTATAAACGAGCTTGAGCCAGCTCGCGAGCCCATAAATGAGTCGAACTCAAGCCGTCTCGGCTCACATACATATGAGCCATCATTAATTTATGACTGGCCCAAAAAAAGTGTCATTTTTGAAAACATATGAACCACTAAAATATGTTGTTAAAAATAAGTATACAAGCAATCATACATATATCTAAAAAATAATAATTGAGATTGATACTATCAAAAAAATCAATTTTGTTTCGACTTATTAAATAAAATAACTTATTAAATTAATTAAATTTAAATTATTTATTGAATCAAATAACATCCAACACCAACAAAGAAAAGTATATTTGATATCATTATAAAATGGCCCACGCCCATTTCCGCATGCTGCCTGAACCTATTTTCTATGATCTCAATTTGTTCAGGTAAAAAAAACTTTTATTAATAATTAATATTATGTTCAGTATTAATTAACAAAGATTAATTTTAATAAACATTACTAATAAGCCTTCATTTGAGATATTTTTCATAGTGCTTTCTAAACCAACATTTTATTATAAAAATTTTTAGCACAAAAAACTTTTATAATAAAAAAATTACTTTAAAAATTAATAAGAAGCTATTCCAAACCTAGCCAAATTATCAGCACAACTAATGCTTTGTTTGGGATGACTTTCTTACAACTTCTTAAAACAGTTTTTTGTAAAAAAAAATTTAAATTATATATTAAAAAGTTGCTTTAAAAAGTAATAAGAAAATTATAATAAACTAAAATTAAGACTTTATTTGGGTTGACTTTCTCACTAATTTATAAAACTATTTTTAAAAGGACCAAATTCTACTAAAAATAGAAAAAAATAATGATCTAAAGCTATCCAAAAAAGCCCTAATTTTGGTGACCAATGGTCACAAATTTTTTTTTTCTTGTGCGATATGACAAGGTAAAAGAAAAATTATTTAAATATAAATATATTTGTTCGTATCTAAAAATTTGCCAAGTATGTGGCTTTGGCCTTGTCTTTAGCACCTGCATCAAATCCTCACGCCTCTCCTTGATGGTGATATGATCGAATCACCATCGAATCAGACGGTCTTCATTCCTCCTCAAGCTTTTTTGGGAAAACCTCCTCAAGCTTCTCTCTCTCGAAGGCTCCTCAATTGCCTCGTAGTTTTCAAAACTTCGGCGATTTCCCGAGTCACCTCTAACTCAGACGATTCACTGAGTTAACTCACACGAACCAGAGTTTAATTAATACCTAGAAAGCAAATGCATGCACGCAAGCTAGTTACATACTACGTGTATCCATGGCTCCAAATCCATTCTACCATAAATTATTATGTGCGGACGCCGAACGCCGTCCATAGCCCAATAAAAATGCGCCATGTCACCTCCTACTCGGTACCTCGACTTGATACTGCTATGTACCGAGCTCGGTACTAGATGATGTGGCTGCACCTGATTCGCTTCTGGACGATAAACTGTATCCGGTGTCTGCACAGAATAATCTCTCGACTTCTAAAGCATCTGTTATGCTCTTCTAGTTATAACGATGAGGCATTTTTAATAAGAAATTTATAAGGTTTCTTCTAGTATTTATGACTGCATGCATGGAAGTTCTTAGTGAGAAGGAAAAGCTACAAATGCCTTATATAAGGAATTACTCATCATTCTTGACTTGCTGCAGAGAAATTGTTTAAAAGATGGACAAATGCTCGTTATTTGAATGTATAGAATGGATTGTTTATGAGAGTGCTGCATTTACTGCAAAGGTCCTGCTCCTGCATGAGCAGCTCATGATGATCAACAGAGAAGAAGAGGAACGAGTTAAACAAGCCTAAGACAAACCATCAAATTAATTGTATTATATGTATATTATATTTACACATAAGGAGATAACTATAAAGAGAAATAAGAAGCAAACCCCCCACATTATACACCAATTCTTCTCACATCAGCTGAAACTTCTATCTCCTACGACTTTACGTCTTTACCTCATAAGGTGTCTATCTTTCCACATTTATTCACAGTATCCACAACTTTTTCCTTTATCACACTTTGGAAGATTCATCATCCATCCATTCTCTCCTTTTTTTTTTTTTTTTTGACATATTACTTCTGTACAACCTCACATTTTAGAAAGTCTGACAATTAAATTAATTTTTCTCTTTTTTTTTTTCAGAAAGGAGCTCTGTGAGGAACGCCCTTTCGCCTGGAAGTTCTGTAGTTTATGATAGGCGGTGTGACCGGAGAAGTGGCGCCACTGCGGCGATCGACTGCGTTTTCCTCGAGCGATTTCAATGGTGTTGATACCGGTGTCGGCGACAGCAAGTAGATGCCACGGCTGAAAGCAGACGTCTTGCGTA